TGAACTAATGGAAGATGTTAATTATATCCTACTTCCATTAGTTCAGCATCCATTTATGTTATAGGATAAATGAATGGATGCTGAACAAATGGAAGAAAAGAAGAACAATGAATTAACCGCAGTCCAAATGTAATTGCTGAAAACACATAATAAGGACTGTTTATAATTTTCAACTAAATAGATGTTGTTCTTAACTACATAACTACAGATGTTGTTCTTAACTACATAACTACAGATGTTGTTCTTAACTACATAACTACAGATGTTGTTCTTCAGTTAATTAGATATTTATGTAAATTACTCATGCTAATTACGTAGGGAACAATAACTATGTGAGCTATGCTGTAATTCACTAGTTACGTATCGATGCAATCAACCTGGGAACCACAAAACACCTTGATCTTCCATTTGGAGGCCTCGGTATTAAAGTTTTGAAAATTAAATGTAGATACTTAACTTAAAAAATCACCCTACGTTTCCATTCATCTTTTAACCTAAATGCTTGAATCCAGTCTTGAGAACCCTCCCAAACCCCCTTACTGGGAGTAAAACTTGAAAATTTCTAAAATAAGAATTTTAAATATTGCTTTGAACAGCTTCTTAAAAGTTAAAACTAATATTCAAATACATTCAAACTTGAGAGCTTCAAGAAACCGCTGACCCTCCCTCCAACTCATTCTGTCAAAAATCAAGTAAAATATACAAAAACAAGTATGACCAAGAACTGGTACATCAAAATCAATACATTAATAAATATCAAAGTAAAAAAAGAATATTAAACATGGAAACTATTTGCTCTTCAAGTATTGTATGTGTCTTTTGTTTACTAACACTAAACAGATAAACAGAAAAAATGTTCTATAAAAATTAGGAGATCAAGAATTTCAAAAGTACAGGTTTGGTTTGAAAGTTTGCTTTTACATTTGGTTGTCTTCCTATAAACCAGTGATTCCCAACCTGTGGTCCCCGGATCCCTGGGGGTCCGTGAAGATAATACCATCTCATTAAACAAGTAAGTTTTTTAATTCTGCTGTTCTTTTAATTGCACACTCAGTTAGATACGTCTTTTATTTGATAGTGAAAAATGGACAAACAAGTTAATTATTAATAAGAAAAACAGTTTGTTGGGTAGATGGAATCTTTCAAAAAACATGGGCTCCGTGGGGAAAAAAATAATAATAAAAGGGGGTCCTTGGTGGTGAAAAGGTTGAGAACCTCTGCTATAGACCATACAACAAATTATCATTAATGGTTTATTTATGTTCTGATGTTGTTGCCTTACAAGAAACAGAAAATGTTTAAATCAACACAGAAATTTTCATTGATCTAAAATCATCAAAGTACTGAAAAAATAAACAAAGCTTTTGGTATATTTGGCATCTTCTTAGGTTAGTTGTAAGTTATAGGCTAGTAAAGCTTTATCTAAACTTCCTACATGAACCAAAACAAAACTATCACCTGTAAAGCAGTTAGAAGCTTTATAGCTGACTGCAAATCTTTATCTTCAAGATAATGATCGGGGCCAAGTGGGACCTATAAGCACAAAATGAAAACAAGTCATATTGATTTTCTTTACAAAAAAGTATTCATTTGTTTAAGCAAAAAAACAGGTTTTAAGAAGTCAAAAACATATTTTACACATTAATAAAAGACAAAATCATAGCAATCTCTCTTTGAGTTTTAATTTATCCAACAAGTAATTGCCCCCACAGATACTGTTAGAAACTGTGGTGGACAGATCACAGATAGCCCTTTGTGTAGGTTTTTGCTCAACTCTTTCAGAAAAGGCTCAGTCCCTAGGGACAACCTCATAACCATTTTGTGCTTGTTATAGTTTTCATGCTACAACTTTTAAATTAGTAAGCAAATGTTAATGCAATTTGGTAGATTATCAGTAAACATTACAATGCTTTCATGCACAAAATATTAAATTATTTTATTAAGTCTTAAGTTTTGTAAAGCAATATTTTTCTCATGCCTTTTTTATATTTTTGCATTTTGCCTATCTATCATGCAAAGTAATTTTCATTTTAAGATTAAAAATACTCTTATGCATCAGAAAATTTTCAAATTTCAGATGTGAAATCTTTATAATGTCCAAATAGTTATCAAATGTTCCTTAAGGAAAAACTTTATATTTTATCTGTTATTTTCAGTAGTGAATCTCTGTACGGGTTTGGTAGATTTGACAGATCTCGTAACCATAATAAAAAATTAGGAAATAAATTTAAATTATGCCTGTTTCATTCTAGAATGATAAGAAATTATAACATGAAAACATAAATATTTAGATTAAATAGCTTAAACCTCATAACATTATACATGTATTTATATTTATTAAATTGACCTTTCAGCCATGCCTGGCTAACAGTACAGAAGCTACAATGATGTGGCACACGTACACTCGATACTGTATCCAATAACATAAAACTGACCTTTGGTCTGTACAAAGTAACCTCTCTTGGCTGTGTTTTAGTCGACTAGTATTTTGTAAAATACAGTCATATTTCCATTATTATACATTATATATGTATGTTGATAATTGCAACTTAGAAATAACTTCTTAAACTTATTTTTCTTGAAACATAGAACAGTAAATAAAGAAGTAAAGCAAACAATTATCTCTTCTAGTTACGACCTTTGAACTCGGTTGCTAAGCCTTTAAAAATTTTGCATGTAGAGGATATAAAACAAAATATTTTTTTTAGGTTTTTATATATATATATATATACACATTTGAATAACTAAAAAATCATAAATTACTACATCAATACCATAAAATTCCACTATAATTTATCAAGCTCAGTAACTAAGCTTTATTTTACTCTAAACAAATATGAAATTTCAAGCAGACTAAAAACACAACCTGCCTCATTGAAATCTTGGGTCAAAAGAAAGAGATGCTAAGAAAGCCACTAGGGGGACATTCTGAGCTTTAGATTGGTTATTAATGTCATACATAGAAGTGTATATAAGGAAGAGTTTCCAAAAATGGAAAGAGGTGGACAGGGTGCCACTGTGTTTGATTTATTACATGAGCAATATCTTAGCAAATATAGAAGATAAAATCTTCTTATTTTATATTCTAGCTTGTCAATATCGGTAATTTGAGTTTATAATTTGTATGAAACTATAGACTTAGTATTTTGACTTCACAAACATCTAATTTGAACCAGTGCTGCATTCAACATACCACGTAACACACAAAAATCAATGTTTATCTGTGTTTTTTAATATTTACTTTTAAATGAAAAAATTGAGTAATGTATAGTTCTAAAATTTGAATTATAATCTACAGTTTGATATCAAACATATTGACATAAATTCATGAAATAATAGTTCAATAAAATTTTGAATGTGAGTCAACAAGCAAGATGACATGGCCTTTTACCCATGACCTGTCTGGAAAGGGTTAGTAACAAACAATAACAACAATCAACAAGTAATTAGGGATATTTTTTCTATCACAACTGTAAAATCACAAAGATTACACAGCAAAATAACAAAGAAACCAGTAATTTAACAACTGACCTTTGAGTCAAATGGTGTAGTTCATTATTTGAAATCAACATCAAATTATTTATCACTTTAAATGTATAGGTTAACAAAGCATGATATAAGTTTATTCATTATGCTTCCCATCTTAAAAGTCTGCATATTATAAAATTATAAACGTGTTAGTTTTTCAGTTTTATGTTGATATTTAACCTTCTTGTCAGTTTTATGCCAATATTTAACCTTCTTGTCAGTTTTATGCCAATATTTAACCTTCTCGTCAGTGTTATGCCAATATTTAACCTTCTCGTCAGTGTTATGCCAATATTTAACCTTCTCGTCAGTGTTATGCTGATATTTAATAATTATAATAGAATTTGTAATAAATATTAGTTCAACTAAAATACCAGCTTAAGTGGCAGTGGAATGTTTTGAAAAGGTTTTTCCTTATAAATCACTTGTACTAGCTGAATAATATATAATGTTTTATGAAGATTAAAGTCAAATTTAATGAAATGTTTACAAAACATTTTTAGTTAACTCAATTCGCCAGTAGAATGCTACATACCCAAGAAAGAACCTGCCTCTCCTTGGACTCTCCTTTCGGCTTGATAAGGAAATACTGCTTCCTTAGCCTCCAACCTCCACATCAAATAAAAATACAAATATTACATTTAACACGATGCCTTCTTTCTTTCCTTTTTAAAAACAAAGAAAAAAAAACACTGAAGAATTATTGAATTAAAACAAATTAGCAGGTGTTACAATAGTATAATATAAGGCTTCAGTTTGAATATATAATGAAATATATAAAATATGTTACCACTTCCTTTGTCATTTGCATAACTATGCAACCTTTCCACAGACCACCTGAACAAAGACCACAAATATAGACCATAATAAATTAATTTATTGAAGGTTATCTGCACAATCAATGGTTCTTACTATTTTTAATATGTGACAGAAGTTGTTAAACAAGTCTTTACGTCACAAGCACAAAACTGGAACGGCCCTGCTAAGGGGTGCTCCAAGAACATACAACAGTTCTAACTTAGAAATAGAAAGCAGAGAAATGCCACAGAATGATGTTTTTTCAGCAAAGTCTATGGTGATCTAACTTTAATATTTATTATATAACAGCGCAATAAGCTCTTCTAACAGTGGTGCTTTTCAAGTGCATATTAATAAGCAAAATCATCTTTGTGTATAACAAAAGTTAAAAAATGAAGAAGAAACCCCGATTTAAATTTCCGTACAAACTACTGCATACATAAAAACCATTATATTTCGCGGTCTTAACACTAATCGGCATTATATATCTTTAAATTTAACCTAAAGCTGTAACAATCAATGAAGAAGAGAAAAATCTGAAGTAAGATATAGATGGTTTTGTAAAAGTCAACCTCAAGAAACATTCATAAAATCCTTCCCTTTACTTGATTTTAAAGCAAAAAATTGGGAGTAGCTCAGAATTAACAGAAAATAGATGGAGTAATAAAAACTATCATGATTTGTTTTTCTAAAACTTGCATAAATTACAGATATAAACTGAAATTTATTTAAGTCTATAAAAATTGAAGAAGCATCAGTCTCTTCTTTTTTTTGTTTTCTAATTTTTAAATATTTAATGTATTTCGATTGATGTATGGATGTTTACCAACTTCATGACGTAAAAGTTAATTCTTATGACACTTACCCATGTCAGGAAGAGGTTCAACCACTTCCCACTGAGACTCTGAACGAAACACCATGGAGACATGCTGAAGAGCTGTCTCTGTCGTCAAGTAATAAAATAACATTTAAATATTTATAGAGCTGGATGATTAATGGAACTTTCTAATCAATTAATTTTTGGGGTCATTATACAATTATATTCAACTAATCAGTTAATTAAAATAAAATACCGAGTAGGGTATTTCTTTGCTCTGGAACTAAAAGTTAAAGAGGAAAACATTTTGAGAAAACATACACTAAACTGTAAAATTGCTGACTTTTAATAAAACTTTGCTACTACTTAAAAGCCCTAATAAGATTTATTTTTTACTCAAAAGGAATGAGAATTAAAGAGTAACTAAACAGTTAGATACGCACAAGGCTTAAGCCTCAGGAATTCTGGTGAAAGAAACATTTTTTTGAAAAATCCAACTCAGTTGCACCTTTATTGAGGTATAATGAACAAAATATGTATACCTTTGGCAGAAAAAAAAAAAGATTTTTTTGAAACATGCTATAATTATAGCTGGATACTGAGAGGTCAGAATACATTTAGTTTCAAAGATAAGTAAAGTCACGGAATGGTTTATCCTGTAAACATTAATCGTTCAAGCTCTTGACAAAAAATCAGTTTTACAGATTCAAAAACTTAGAGAAGTTTGCATATATAACAATTAAGGAAACAGCCATGCTAATAGTACAGCATAACAAGCATATAACTGTGATCACACATTTAGTTGGTACAATGTGAACTATGGAAGATTGTACTCCTGTCTAAATAGTATTTTAATATCTGGCACGTTCTCATGTTACTCTCTTTCTGTTTTATGTAAGAGACATCAATCAGCCAATTATAGGGAAGAATATACCATAAACGTACCAACAAAATTACACGAATACCTCTCTGGATCAAGAAACTGTTTCACTGCTAAAGAATTTGCCAACATTGGATGTTCTAGAACTGCATTGATGTAAGCCTAAAGGAAGTATATTTAAAATGATTAGATTTATAAAACATGAAAGAACTGTACAATAATAATAGTTATTTATGGAAACATCAGCCATTGTTAGGTGGTGTACAATAATAAGATATATTTATGGAAACATAAATTATCATCAATTTTATTGTACTGTACAGTCATATAAAATTATCATCAATTTTATTGTACTGTACAGTCATATAAAATTATCATCAATTTTATTGTACTGTACAGTCATACAAAATTATCATCAATTTTATTGTACTGTACAGTCATATAAAATTATCATCAATTTTATTGTACTGCACAGTCATATAAAATTATCATCAATTTTATTGTACTGTACAGTCATACAAAATTATCATCAATTTTACTGTACTGCACAGTCATATAAAATTATCATCAATTTTATTGTACTGCACAGTCATATAAAATTATCATCAATTTTATTGTACTGTACAGTCATACAAAAGTATCATCAATTTTATTGTACTGTACAGTCATATAAAATTATCATCAATTTTATTGTACTGCACAGTCATATAAAATTATCATCAATTTTATTGTACTGCACAGTCATAAAATTATCATCAATTTTATTGTACTGTACAGTCATACAAAATTATCATCAATTTTACTGTACTGTACAGTCATACAAAATTATCATCAATTTTATTGTACTGCACAGTCATAAAATTATCATCAATTTTATTGTACTTCACAGTTATAAAATTATCATCAATTTTATTGTACTGTACAGTCATACAAAATTATCATCAATTTTACTGTACTGTACAGTCATACAAAATTATCATCAATTTTATTGTACTGTACAGTCATACAAAAGTATCATCAATTTTATTGTACTATACAGTCATATAAAATTATCATCAATTTTATTGTACTTCACAGTCATAAAATTATCATCAATTTTATTGTACTTCACAGTCATAAAATTATCATCAATTTTATTGTACTGTACAGTCATACAAAAGTATCATCAATTTTATTGTACTATACAGTCATATAAAATTATCATCAATTTTATTGTACTGCACAGTCATATAAAAGATTTCACTAGCACAAAACTTTATATACACTAATAAAACACTTAAACCCTTGTTAGTTCTGTAACTGGTGTTACAGTTATACTGAAGGAACAGTCAGTAAAGGTAAATAGAACATAAAATCTGAATCTTTCAGCCACCTCTATTGATATATATGTAAGCCTTTAAGGGAATAATGTCTATTATATGTAACATTAAAAACCGACCATTAAGAATAGATACCACACCTGCAGTCCTTGTTGCCGTTCTGCTATGAATTCTCTGCCCATGTTACCAAAAACTTTTTTTGGTGGAAGTACGAAATCAATACCGGCAGGTTGGAGGTGAGTGTTCAGTGTAACAAAATCACTGTACCGACGTGACAGGTGCCAGGAATTGTCTCCAACAAGACCACGCTGAACTCTCAAAATGTAAGCCTACAAAATGAACATTAACTTCAACCCAGTAACATGTTTCATCAGTGACAGTATTACCAATCTGTTCTAGTGTACATGTTTATATAGTTTATAACAAACTAAAGTCAACCTAGTAACATGTCTCATCAGTCACAGTATTACCAATCTGTTCTAGTATACATGTTTATATAGTTTGTAACATAAACTAAAGTCACCCTAGTAACATGTCTCATCAGTCACAGTATTACCAATCTGTTCTAGTATACATGTTTATATAGTTTGTAACATAAACTAAAGTCACCCTAGTAACATGTCTCATCAGTCACAGTATTACCAATCT